TTATAAACTTTTAACAATGTGTGTAAATGCTTCTGACAGCATAAGAAGGCAAGCTATCAGATCACCCATGGCAGCTACCACTACACCCACCAGTAGTAACATACACAGGAGGGCTATGCATTTGGACAATGGTGGTTTCTCTGAATGGTGGGACTGTAGATGGATTTCATTCTCATATGTACACATTTCTGTGACTTCTACAATACGCACATGCCTGATGAAGTACTGAGATAGGGAAGATCTAAAATGGGTTTGAGAAAATAGGATTTAAATAGGTAAGAGATGGGGGAAGGGCTAACAGAAAATGAGCACGTTTCCTAGGGTTGGAAATACCAAGAGCCGAGATCCACGTCACAGAGGCACCAAGCAGGAAGAGGGGCTGGTTAAGAGAGGGGGCCATAAAGAACCAAATTTAAGAGATCTGGAAAAGGGGACAGAATCACTTTTTTTTTCTTTCTGTATTTCATAGGGTGGTTTCAGGGCTGTTTGAACTTTTTTTTTCTTGTAATTCATAGGGTGGTTTCAGAGCTGTTCAAAGAAAGGTCAGGTAGGCTAGAAAGGGCTGAGAGCCAGTCCTAGAGGGATGAAGCTCACTCAGAAGGGTTTATAGTAGTTCAGGCATCAAGTCCTGAACTACCCGAAATACACAAAAGCAACATAGATAAGGAATCCAGGTATCACCTGATGACCTGGACTAGACGAGGGAGCAGAGACTAATGGATTTCAAGCTGGAGCAGAGCAGAGAGGAGGCAGGTCAACATCTAAAATGAGAAAAGTCAGATTTGAGACCAAGTAAATTTGTGCTGACTGAGGAACATACACTTCGGAATTTCCTTTAGATCACCGAAACCACGGGACTAGCAGGACACTGCCTGTGAGGACAAGGCTCTGAGAGTCACCCGCTGAGGGATCTGGGTCAATGACAGATGTCCTCTCAAGTTCAGGGACTCAAGAGCAGAGTATTGCCAGTAAATTCCAGATCTCAAGGGCTCTTTCAAAAACGCAGTGAAGTCTTCACGGAGAAGCCCCAGGCTGGCCTTGTGGTGATTCTAATACAAAAGAGCTAATACCAAAAGGACAACAAATCAGAAGGACAGTTCAGGTCCTTCTGCACCAACAGCAGGCACACGTGCACACGATTGACTGGCAGGAGGGGCCGTTTCCAGAGAGGGGAACCAGGGAGGAGGAGGAGGCATTCACCGTGTACACTCTGCACCTTTCAAATTCTAAACCACGCATGCCCTGTCTAGTCAAAACAGCATAATACAGTTTAACTTTCTTTAAAAGGTCACTCAACGGAGTGGGCCCTATGCCATCCCCACTGTTGGGGCAAACAGCAAGAGAACAAAGATCGGGACTGGCAGGGTGAGCTGCGCCACCATCCCCACCTGGCAGCCACTGGTGGCAAAGGCTTGGAAGGCAAGAACTAGCATTCCTCCAACGAGACCCCAGCAAAACTAACAGTCAAGAGCCAGGGTCTCTTTGCCAAGCCAGAGGTACTGTGTAAGTGAAAGGCTGTGCTTCACCACCCCCAGCGCCACTCAGGAAGGCGGGGGAGGCTGTCCCAGCACAGTGAGCAGCTTAGGGAGCTGCGTGCAGGACAGCTGCCCCCGGAAGGCTAAGGAGTTCACTCCCCTCCTCCTAGGTGGATCCTAGAAAACACAGCAGGGTACACAAATCAGAAATATTGATGCACATCTTTTTCAAACAGTTCAAAGAGTGATTATTTGCACTGTGACATTGGTACAAGTCACTTCAAGTTTCCCAGATGCACTCAAAATTACAGCATTTCTTCAAATCAGTGGCGAAAGAACGGATTATCTGGAGCCCAAACTGATATAAAATCCTGGACATTTTCCTCATGAACACAGACACCAGCCCTCCCTCAGGGCAACTGAGACTGTATACAGCAGGCTTTGGATTTAGGGAACAGTCTCAAAAGAAAGTGTGTGGAATACGGAACGACTGCTTATTGCTAAAGCAGACAGTTCTCACACTAAGAGTCATCAACCAGGAGGCAGTTATTCCAAGCGGCCTCCCATGCAGCTGAAAGGAGCCCACACCATGCTACAAGCTCCTTTCAAATACACCCAAGTGGCTGCTCCCAGGGATGGGCTTAAAATACATAAATCACCCATTTTCAATAACCAGGAAAACTGGACCTAATCAACCTTGTCTACCAAAATAAAATTTTTCTCAGATTCTCACATTCACTACCTGAGAATTTTTATATTTATATACATAAATATATATACATGTGTGTATATATACATGTATACATATGATATTTTGAAAGATTTATTTTGTTAGTTTTCTGATTTTGTAGCCACATAAGAAAAATGGGTGATACTAGGGCATTTTTTTCCTATCAAACTCAATCAATGCAGAAGCTTTTAAAGTCTGTAAATGAAGTCTGTATCCTTGAAGGCAATATTATGCAACATAATGAATAAAACTGAATTAGAAACCTTCATACTATCAACCACTCTGCATCTAACCAGCTGTATGAACTTGAGCAAGTAACAAATGCTCTGGGCTAAGGCATCCTCTGCTATAAAATAATCCCTAAAACCCCTTCTAGTACTAATATCTGACAAGAGCAATTTACTATTTTTAAAAGATGTTAAATGCTAATGAAATATCACAAAAATTTATGCAAACACAGAACATTTTCAGTTAGCTTTTTAAGAAAACTAATTTTAAGTAGTCATAAGTCGGGAAATAATTGAGTTTTTAAAATAAAATTATACTGTTTGAGCAACAGAAATAATCAATTTAAAAGGCTGGATTACACAACAAATCAATCTTTCATTTTTCTCTGTATTTAAGTCCGGGAACCATGTTAAGGATAGAGTTTTCAATACCCAAATTCTTTCTCAATGTGAAAAAGAAAAAAAAAGTTTGAAAGAAATAAGGCATTTCTCCTACAGCTGTAGTCATAGCACTGAAGTAAGATTTCATTATTTCAGTAGTTCACTCTTAAAGTCTACCAGAAAACCATTTTTAATTATTCACCACTATCCTAAAATATATTATACCTAATGCTGTGAAGGAAAACATGCACAGATATTCATTCTACAGCCAAAGCTTGACTGTGATTCTGAGCACAGAAAAATTCAGCAAGACAATGAACTGAAAAAATAAGTCATAGAAGGCTAAGCTGTCTATAAAACTTTCCTTAAAAGGGGCTAAATAGAAAAAGACTACTCCAGACAATTATAACTTGATTGATGATTAAATCTTCCAAGAGTGGAAGGTGTGAATATTAAAGGTTTTTTTTTATAAAACTGTATTTCTACCAGAGACAACAAAGCTAACACATCATTACAATGTGACCACTCCTGCCCTAGATTTGTATCATGCACACTCATTTCATTCACATGAATATCCTCTGAAGCACACGCTATTTTTTTTTATCACCCCTGTTGTAAAGATGGCTGAGGCTTCTATACAAGTTAAGTGATTTGCTCAAAGTGACACAGCTGGTAAGTGAGAGTTCAGGCTCAAGACAGACGTAGGTGATTCTCAAGTCCTGCTCTTAAAAATCATCATCGTCAGAATTTAAACTCCCCTATCTAAATGTCACTATTTCCTCTCTGTACTGATTCCACTGATCTAGAAAGAAGGCCTTGAAATGAGTAAAGCTCTAATTTAAATAGCACTCCAGCATCTAAGTACAGCCGAAAATCCCAGAACGTTCATCCTAACCTCCAAAACAGTCTCCTAAAATGCCAACCCAATCATAAATTTTCAGATGCCAAATCTTTTGGCCTACATTTCACCCCTTTCTTTCCTAAGCTCCATTGGAAAAACATGGATGGGTGGGAAGATCATTCCCAAAGCTTAAATTCCAAGTTTCTTAGTTTGGCAACAATACTGTGCTTTGGGACCTTAAAATTATAAGCACGGTTCCCAGAAGAAAACATTTCCTTTATTAGCAATTGGCTTTGACAATTCCATTCTAGGATGCTAAATATAACAAAATACCTCTGACTTTTATAATAAGCACATTCCCCAGATTATTTTAAAAATAACAACTGTCTGCTTATTTACAAGACATTTTGCCACAAGTTAAGCAACTGTAACATTTTAAAAAATCTTTTGAATTTGTTCCAGTTCTTTTAGCGAATTGACCTGATACTGTTTTCTGAATTCTTCTACTATGAAATAAGAAAATTCCCATTTCACCATTTATTTCCCTAAAAAGATATCCTTGTTCTACTGTTTCTAACTTTTTAAAGTTGTAATCCAAGAACATGAGCAAAGCCAGAATCATTTAGTTTTTCAAACTATGAAATAGTATAAGCCAAAAAATTTAAAAATCTATATGCATTCATCAAAAGCAAATAAAGCATTTCACAGTTCTTAAAATGTACTTTCATTCTTAAAAATCTGATGCATAATAATTCAGAAATATTAAATCAATGGAGTGAGGAGCCAACTGCTTTATTCTGAACAAATGGACTACATCAGGCTTTTAACAGGATGCAGTGCTGCTGTGTGTTTAGGGAGCAACATGCACTTGGTAAACCTCAGAGCTCCAGGCATCCTGTCATATAAGCAGTTTGACCATGGTTGTGGAAAAAAAAAAAAAAGATACCTTTAGCTGAACAGCTTCTCATATCCTCCTTACCTAAAACAGGAGATGGGAAAGTATTTAAGAACCAATCGGCACTTTCGTCTAGGAGATGGATCCAAGTAGTTGGATGGAGAGGGTAGAAACTATGTTTCTAACCTCATGGCTTTGGGGTGTGTGGGTTTGTTTGTTTTTACCATTCTAATTACCACAAATAGTTTTTCAAAAACGTAACTCACTAGGTGTCATGAGTTCTTTTCTTCTCGCTCTTCTCACACCTTCTAAACCCACAAAGCCCTAGTAAGATCAAATTTGATCTCTCGCCCTTCTACAGGGATACCAAGCCTCCAAATATTTGAAAGCTCACCAACAGGCATATGCAGGGTGGGGACAGAGTGCTCCCAGGCCGAACTACGATATTTAGTGGGAAGAGCAGAGACTTCAAAGTACTTGTGTCTGCAAGTGACTCCTAAACTTGCACCCAAGCCCTACATTTTCTCCACAACACATTTTAAAAATCAGTATGGAGAATTCTTCTTGGAAAGTGTTCACTCTCATAACACAACTACTTAAAGTCCCAGCATCTTTCACCCAAGACACTCCTCCTAGTATAATTGCTCTGTCGACACGCTGACACCAAATCTTGTGGGGTTTTTTTCCTTCCTTCCTTCCTAGTATCTCCCCAGTATTCCTTTCCTCCACTTGTCAAAAACAGTAAGCTACATAAACGGGTGCATGGGCCTGGCGTAGGGCAATGGGGATTGGTGGGAACAGCTGTTCTTCAGCCCTGCCAAACGTTAATCAGGTGGGAATGCGATAGCAGATCTTCCAATGATCCAACTGGAAATTCAGATTGTCGGGAGAAATGCGCCGGTTTCTAACGCAAGGTACGGACTAAAGAAAACATGGCAGCCCGCGAGTTAACCAGTCTCTTTCATTCCGGTCCAGACTCCCTCAGTCTATTCTGCACATCACTGTTAGATCAATTTACCAAATACACTACTCCTGACCACTGCTAACTCCAAGCTCCAAATACTACCACGACGCGTATGCTGTCATTCAACGTCCACAATCAAAGAACCACTCTTCACCTTCAACTCCCCTACACTAACCTTTCACTTCAGTCAAAGGAGTCTACACCCCTCCCTCACTCCTCAGCCCCCAAGCAGCTAAGTCCCGGCCAAGATGGCCTCTTTTATACCCTCCTCCTCTACCCCATCAACGCCCACATTTGAAGCAGGAAACAAGCCCACCTACTGGGAATATACCCTCCAACACCTACTGACGGCAGGAGTTAAGAGACTTCTCTGCTTAAGGCCAACAGATTTAACTTTTGAGAAGGGGTTTAAATTTCCTAACAGGCAAAAACGATGGCCTTGTCCTGACACATCTTCCCTCCTGCCACCCCATAACATTTTAAAGGAGAGCAGAGAGCCGAAGTCCTGCTCAGAGGAGTCTTTCCGGGGTCTCGACGTCTTCACACCCAGGAAGGCCTCGGGGAGGTGGAGGACTGGAGGGGGACCACCCAACCAGCCCTGCGAGGCAGGCGGACGTGCGCAACCCTCCGCGCCCTCTCTTCTGCACCCCGGAGATACCACCCCCGACGGGACCCCAAGAGCCCTGTCCCCGGGACCCCGACCTGCTGAACCCTGCTGCGCGCTTCGCTGGGGCCCCCGCACCCGAGGAGCCTCCGCGCCGACCAGGCCGGGTGCCGCCGGCGGCCTCGCCAAAGAGTCAGATGGCCAGACGACCCCTCTGTGCTCGACCCCCTACCGATGTCCCGGGGGCGCCGCTGTCTCGGCCGCGCCCACCCGATGCCGCCGCTACCTTGTCCTCCGGCGGCGCGTCCGGCTCGCGGGCCACCCTCTGCCTAACTCTGTCATGCTG